ATGACGTCATCAAAAGGCGCAGGCCCCCGAGTCAATCTGGTTCCTACACCGGTCATGCAAGCTAACGCTAACTCAACATGAGTTTATTACTTTTATTTTTCTGTAGTTGAGTTAGCGTTAGCTTGCATGACCGGCTCCGTGAATTTTTTTATATGCAGATTTTTTTTTATTTTTTTTATTTTATTTTTTTAGGTCAAAAATGTGTTCTGAATATATTTTAACAGCAAGTACAAACATACAACATTTAAATTTCAGTAGCATTTTTAATTCAAATCCCAGCGAAACAGATTTACTTCCATACAATCAGGATTACAGAGAATTATTTAAAAAAAAAAGTCTCTTTATATCTTGGTTTTAAAAAACCCTCAAAGCTTCACAATTCAGTAGCCTCCTAAACCAAATAAATTCTGCAGACAAACGCATGTGTTAAGATCGAATGTCAATGATGCAACAGCTGCGACTCCCCCTCTGACATCACATTCCTGCACATGAATCTACGGTAGAAAATCGTGAAATAAGATAAGTGAATGTTTTCATAAAATGCACTACATCTTAAATATGTCAGTTACTGAAATGGATGACTTTTTAAAAGAATGTTGATGACGTTAAAACAACTGGAGGGCTCCAAATGTCAATCTGTGATTCAGATATAACTCTTACAGACAATTTTTATGCTATTAAAAAAAGAAAAAAGTTCTTCCTTTCTATTAAAAGTTTCATAGAAAGCATACAGAACTACCATCAACGCTACTTTAGGGTCTAATTAAATCAATCCCTCAGCCACAAAAGCTGTTTAATTTAGACAGTCAACACCCTATCATTTTATTAAAGAATGATTAGAAAATAATCGCCTTATGTTTGGCTAATACGCTAAAAACTGTAATGCAACTTATTATTGGACAACTTCAATGTGTAACTATTGTAATGAAAGAATCCCAGTTAAACACTCACATTTTCACAAACAGTTATTTTTAAGCTGGTATCGAATACATAAACAAAACCACTCCCAAAACAAATATATTTAGAAAAACAAAAGCATCTCCTTCAAGCAAAAATCTATTTTTCTTTAAACATGGTTTGACAAAGGCATAATTTCTGTACATTAACTCTTTAACAAAGAAGGTAATTTGTTATGGTTCTTCCCATTTGTTGTGACTCTGAGTTTTCAGTTTTCTGTTATCAGTTGTTTTGTTTTTTATTTTCCATGATATTCAAGCATTCTTTAGTTACTCTCTGTTGCCCCCTTGTGATTGTTTTCTTTCCCCTTGGATTCCCTCTTGCCAGTTCCACCCACACCTGCTCCTTATCCAGCTCATTAGTCCATCCTTTGTTCTGTTCTCCTTTAAATACTCCACCTCTGCAGTCACTCACTGCTGGTTCCTTCTCATTGCTGTATTTGTCTGCTCAGCTCGTCTCTCCCCGGCTCCTCAGGCTCGTTTTCCCCTGATGTCATCATGGTTTTGGTTTGTTTAATATTTTAAGTTGGATTTCTGCCTCTGCTACCTATGGTCTGCAATTAAACCTCTCAGAACTCATCTCTGCTTCTCTCGTCTCTGCATCTGGGTCCTCGGGCAACCTCACCACCCATTGCTGAAAGTAATACTTCTTCTGTTCAACAACATATTTCACAACTTAATAGCGCAGTAAATTATTGGCAACTCTGACCCATTCTTAAGTAGAAAAACAAACAACAAATGTATTAGGGATCAAATAATCAGAGAACATATAAGTAAACCAGTCTCTATTTTGTTTTGGGATAATATTCATAGTGATATTTGTTGGAATAATGTTTGGTTATTACCAATAAAAAAAAAACAACTTTGAGAAGTATCTCTAAAGATTTTGCATAGATGCTATCCAGTTAATACTAGAAAATGTAAGTATCACCCAAATGTAGACGTGAAATGTTTTGTTCTGCCAAAACTGAAGAAATCATCTATCATCTCGGGTGGGATTGTTCGTATACACAAATATTTTGGAAATTATTTAGAGAAACTTGGAAATAGACCGTTAAAAGTATAACTATATTAAGTTCAAACCTAGAGTTAGTCTTTTTTACCTATATGTCTTCACATTTGTCTTCTGTGAAGTACTCTAACAATGAAAAAGCCCTAAACTTGATCACTCTACTGAATTTAGAATATAAACTGCAAAGTTGTTGTTTCCATTTTTTTCTTTTTCTATTTCATATGTTCTTGCCAGCTTTAAGCCATTTCATAGTTTTATATATTCAACTCTAAGCTAATGTGAACTCTTTGCATAAACTGTAAAAAAGAGACTAGCATACATGGCGCCATCTGCTGGCAGTACCACAGAACTTTCAGAGATCCAGGTGGAAACTACTACCGTCCTGCAAATGCCTTACAGTAAAGCGACAGCTATAAACTAAACTGATATAGTTATGTATTATATATATTATATATTTTTAAATGAATTTCAAGAAATAAAATACAAGAAAACGTATTAACATATTGAATCAAACCAATAACAGGCTTAAAATGTAAGGCAGCTGGACTTGCGCTCATGTTTTAAAGACATTTCAACACCTTTCCAAGAGTCTTTATTAATTCTTTTGCCTCGCACCAGATCAGTCTCTAGTAGAAGCGATGATGTATTTAAGCAGCATGGAGGTCCGATAACTGCCACTGAATCAGCCGTCAGAAATAACAACATAGCAGAAGCAGAAGAACTTAGGTTGAAAGTCAAAGCAGCCCTCTAGTGCAAGATTGTCCACTTCCAACATTACCAAACATGAAAGTATGGAGCTCATCTCTCTAGGCAAAGATCACAACATCACCATGTTGCCAGCAGAGAAAGGCAGACACACAAAGGTACTCAACACAACTGACTACCATGAGAAAAATTATAAATCTACAGTAGCAGCCATTGAAAATGGCCCTTCCCAGTCAAACGGCAGTCGAATGCTAGCCCACTTCCCTCCAACTCCCGGCGAAATCCCCTCCAACTTCCAGCCACTGGAGAGACCCCCCCTTGCATATTTTTTCTACTCTGACTCCCCCTTTCACTGATTTACAGGGTCTGACCAGGGGATGATGCTTCTTTTTAGATCTTAATGTCCACAAATCATGACAGAGAGAATATTTTAGTACAAATATTGATGAAAAAGCCAAGGAACAGCCAAGGACCCATCAAGGAAAGTGGGATGGCTACTACTGTACTAATGGACAGTAACACCTATGTGTTAAGTCTAAAACCATTCCTTTATTGTACATTCTGTTAGCTTGTCTTTCTGCTATATTAC